ATGGTCGAATCCACTTTAAACAAGAAGCATAATTCGATTGCTTATCATTACACCAGGTGGAATGTGGCTGCAGGAGTCGTCGACGTATCGTGGATTGCAGGAATGTTGAACCTCGCTGATGCCTTCAAGAAGCGATTGACACTAGAGAGGAGAGGGCGACTATTTGGGGAATGGACGTACTAGACAAGTTATCGAACTGGGTCCCAAAGTTGGAACCCAATTCGAGGGGACCAAATGAAGGTTACCGTGCTATTGCACACGCATGCAATGGTTCGTGTCCGTAAGTGAACGGGATCGGCCTTCGCGGAAGCCTGTCGATGAAACGACGATAACACACTCTTTTTAAGAATACAATTCGATCTACGTTACTACCTTTAACATCTACTACTTCGTAAGTCAACACCCTCGTAATAACATAACGATTACGTTTATATGAATCTACAAAGGGACAACGTACTGGGCACCGAGTGCTCAACCTCAAAACTAAGAAAATGATTTCTTGACCCAAGGTCGTCGTACTACCCGTTACCGACCAAGTAATCCAGCGTGTTGAAGCTTGGCCTGCTACTGAAGGTGTTACTTCTGTCAAGTTCTTCGATAAGAAGAGAGATTTGGAGACATTTCAAGATGGCGATCAAATCGCAGGAGTGGATGACACGGAACAAGGTCTTAGAGGAAGCCTTTGATCAGGACTATGAACCTGAAGAAGAAGATGAACGTGATTTTAACTTACGTGGACAATTTGATGATATCGATGACTCTGAAAGAAATGAGCTCTTGGCAGATGCAGACAATGATGTTGATGATATGCCGGAACTCACTGTCAGATTCCAAGGGGATGATGACTATGAATCAGATGACGACGATTCGGGTGATGAAGGCAATGAAGAGGAAGAACCTATTGTGGCCAATTTGGATCACCATCAAGAAAATGTCGATAGAGGAACCGATGATATTGGGAGCCTCGTTACTGATCTGGAGGATCTACAAGAACCGCCAGAAGAAGAGATTGTATTTGAGCCTG